AGCATGGAGTTTTGTGCAAGTGAAAACTGCCAGGAAGAAGATATCTTTAAATGGCAAATCTGAGAGAAAACAAACAAAAATAATAATAAAATGCAAATCTGATCTTACCACCTCCCTCCACAGTCTGTTCCCCTCTTACCTAACTTTCCTTCCTACTTCCTCAACCATTCATAGCTAAAGGGCTTTGCTTTTTTCATTTCCTTTGCCCGGAATGTTCTTCCTGTCTCTCTTCTCGAGTCGCTAACTTTCTAACCATCCTGTCGCTAACTTTCTAACCATCCTGACGGTCTCGGCTCCAACTTACCTTTCTCCCAGAAACCATTCTGGAGCTTCTTGACTAGCCCCTAGGTCTCTTCTGTTGTAAGCTCTCACTGAATCACTACACTTTTCCTGCCTGGTTGCAGTTTTATCTGCGTAATTACATAAAGCTGCAAACTCCTCAAGGTCAGGGGTCGTGACTTTTTTTTAGCCATTTTCCCATTGTGTTCCCTACTCCTAGTTCAGTGCTGGTGCAAGGTACTTCAAAAATGCTGAAGGAAGGCGTGTAGGCCCTGTGTTCCACACTGGGCGGGGACACCGTTCTGCCCTTAAGTAAATTGTATGTGAAAATACGACTTTATGAGGAAAGAAGGGAGGAGTCCCGCACAGGAGGAAAGAAGGGCTGGCCCTCCTTGCTGCCAAGCAGAAGGACCCTGTTCTCAAAGTCAGAGAGCTCCACAGGGCAGGGTCCTTATCTTTACCCTCAAAGACAAAATGTTGATTTTATTTGGTTTTGGGGCTTTTATTGGATTTATTTAAGCAACTGAAGTGGGAAAAGCAACTGAAGAAGTATAACTTTAACCAAGGAGGCTGTAGCTTAATAGCAGTTAAAAGCTCAGGCTCTGAAATCTGACAAACTAGTTCCCAGCTATTGTGACCTTAGGCATATTACTTAGCCTCTCTTGGCCTCAATTCCCTGTTGCATAAGTTTGCTTTCAAGTTGAGATACAGGAATACATGCAAAGCATTTGAACCAGTGCCTAGCACATAGCAAGTGCTCAGTACACAGTAGCTATATTATTCACCCCAGGTTGCCCTGCCTTCCTGGAGGTTGCATTGCCATTGTTTCATTAAGCAAAACTTTAAATGTTATTTATTTACTTTCTAGAGAGAGGGGAAGGGAAGGAGAAGGAGAGAAACATCAATGTGTGATACATTGATCACCTCTTGCATGCCCCCAACTGGGGACTGGGCCTGCAACCCAGGCATGTGCCCTGACTGGGAATCGAACCACCAGCCTTTTGATTAGAAGGCTGTCACGCAATTCACTGAACCACACTAGCCAGGGCTCGTTAAACAAACCTTAAATGGACAAGCTCTGTGTTCATTCTGGGAGTGGGGCAGGAGGATAAGGATACAGAGCTTCTGCCCAAATTCATTTTTGGGTTCCCCTCTGGAGAAAGAGGGTTGGGAAGGATATTTACCGGTCACTCCTCAAGACTTGGCCTGAAACACATAATCTGTATAAAATGCTTGAATATGCTTGGAAGAAAAGCAAAGGGTAATCATAGAGGGTGCTGAGAATTTTCCATATTTGAACTTTCCATTACATTCTTTCCAGTTCCTTTTTCTATTCTTTGTGTGTTTGGAGCAGCCCATGTTGCCAGTGAACTTTGCTATTCTGAAAGAGTTCTAAATGGATGCGAAGTTCTATTTGGATGCATTCTAAATGAATGTAAATCTAAATGAGTGCAAAATGCATTTCTCCTGCTGGCAATAATGGCTCACAAAAAGATACTATTGATATTAAGAGCTCAGAGAAGTTAAGTAATTCCCAAGCGCTCACACAGTTAATAAGCATAGTGAACTTAACAAGTTAATAAAGTGGGCTTTAAACTCAGATTTGACTGATTCTTAGTCACTGCTGCCTCATAGTGGATCTTGAGCCACCTGGTGGTCGTGGAGGTCTGTGAGAGTCTGCTGGGTGTTCCACTGCTAAGCTCCTCTTTACAGGAGGGTGGAAAGCACTGAACAGCGTTTGCATGCTGTTGTTCTTTGCTGTCACTTTGGTGGCGGTGGTTGGTTTATTTTATTTTATTTTATTTTTATTTAGAGGGGAAGCTGGGGGAGAAAGAGAGGGAGAGAAACATTGATTGGTTGCCTCTTGTATGTTCCCTGAATGGGGACTGAACCTGTAACCCAGGCAATGTGCCCTGACTGGGAATCAAACCAGCAACCTTTCACTTTGTGGGACAATGCCCAACCAACGGAGCCACGATGGCCAGGGCCTTTGCTGTCACTTTGAGAGGAGACATAGATTTCAGGAGCTCTTTTGTCAGAAGGAATGGGTGATGGGTAGGATAACAAAGCTTTTTGGATTGAAGAGGACATTAGTGAGCATCTTAACTAGTCATAGAGCCACTGAGTAATTTACCCGAAGTTATGTTCCTCTGTTATGGCAGAGCTGGGTCGGACCAAAACCAAGGTGCCTGAACTCCTCTTTCTGGCCTTTGACACTTTCATCTCACTACCCCTAAACTTCATTTTTTGATTTGCTAAAGGTCCATGAGCCCACTTATGTACTTATGTTCTTTAACTGCCCATCTTATTTCCTTTCTTCTGCAGCAAAAAAAAAAAAAAAAAAAAAGACAGTATTCATAATCAAGACCATCCCAGGCAGCTAGGGGACTCTATCTGGGGCCAGAGGGAGAACAGGGGACAAGATACACTAGTTAAAAAGCATTAGAACTCTGGATTAAAGGCTGCTACTACAGTTCTGCTCTCCCTGGGACAAAGAGTGGGATCCTGTTTATATCAGGCTTCCTGCCTTGGGGGATGGAAGAGCCAAGAGAAAAGCTGACACCAGTAGGTCATGCGGATGCCACTTGTTTAGATTTCAAACATGTTCCATTCCACACCTCACTTAGGACCAGTTGGCTGCTGTGTATGCAGGGCCTGTACCTCATCTGGTGAATTTTCCGGAGGCAGAAGAATCATTAGGTCCTTTTTTTAAAGATTGTATTTATTGTTTGATTTAAGGGGGGGGTGGAGAAATGCAAATGTCGGTTGTCTTCCGCACATGCCCCCACCAGAAATCAAACCTGCAACCTAGGTATGTGCCCTGGCTGGGAATCTAACCAGCAACCTTTCAAGTGTACAGGATGATGCTCCTACCAACTGAGCCACACCTGCCAGGGTTCAGGAGAAACTTCTTGATGTCCTAATGAAAGCAATGTTTTACCCTGAAGTCAGAGAGTGTGTGTTCTAGCAAAAGTGAGCGCAGATCTGCTTTTTCTACATGCTCCAGCCTCACAGGAGATGTCTCACTGGGCGGCCATCCACTAGGCGGTTGCCTTCTGCCTTTGGTGTACACAGGAAGGCAAAGATAGGAAGAATTGTTTGCAGTATTGTGAAACCCTCACCGTCAAGAGTTTGAAATGCATTTCCCATGTTTCCTTCTTAGTAAACCCTTTATACTGGGGTGTAAGACCCTTTAAAGACCAGGAAACACCTGAGGATGTGTGGGGGAAACCTGCACTGAGCCAGGGGTATGGTTTTTAGCTCTTCTTGTCCTCTCTCTGTGGCTCCTGGTGCCTGTACTATTGCTCCCCGGCCTCTAGCCCTGTGGACAGTCACTGGCATGCTTTGTTTATACCCTTGGCCAAGTAGACAGCCGAGCAAAGCCAGGCCCAGAGAGGAGGAACCGACCGTGTGACTTAAGTTTCCACTGGCAGGCATCCACCCGGATGTGCTCTGTGGGCAGGGTCAGCCTGAGGAGCAGCACATACAATACTGTGGCTTTCATTTCTTTGCTGAGCAGGGTCTTTTTCCCTTCTTAATGCCGAGCTTCCTGGGGATAGGGACCCTGTTTTATTTATTTTTGTATATTCCTCATACCCAGCTCGGTACTTGGCACAAAACAGTGTCCGGTAAATGCATGCGTTACTTCTTTAGAATAAAAGTTGAAAGCCAGATAGAGCAGGTGACCTGTGGGTCTCATCATACACATTATGGTTCAGAGAACATGTTGGGCTGGTGGGGTATTTCAGCTTTTAAGTGTGAAATACAAAAAGCCTTTTTCACCTCCATCCCCATTCCCCAGTGCTGTGAATAGAATCTGGCCAACTGCTGGATTGTCACCCACCAGTGCCCTTTCCGTGGCTGCCCCTGAGGAGGGACAGTATGAATCCTAGATCCACTCAAGGTTATTAGGAGATCATTGGGTAAGCAAAAGATGATTTAGTAACTCGAAATTGGACTAGGTCACTTGAGCAGGTCATCCCTTAAAAGTGAAGAATTTTAGTAGCAGGGTTGTTTTTTTTTTTTTTAAGTCCTCTTGAATCATACGGTAATTAACCTTGGAGATCATGTGGAATGACTAACAAGATGCTGAGCCTAATCCAAGAATACATACTGTGTTAATTATTCTAGGAACTTTCACAGAAAAGCTGCTTTTATTTAAAACCACAGCTAATTACAGGAGCAGCATCACCTTGTTACCAGCTGAGTTTAAATAACGCTAGAACATCAAGTGTTTCTGCTTGGATATTAAAAAAGTGGCATAACCCTGTCTGAGGAGAGCTCTGCTCTTTGCCAGTCGGCTCTATGTGCTGAACCCTCTTCTCCCTTTAATCGTTTTCCCCCTTAAGCTTGCTTGTTCTTTCTAATAGTTTTTTTCTTAATGGGATAAACATCGGTACACACCATTTTGGTGAAGGGTAGGCTGATGACCAGAAAGAGGGGAATGAGAAGAAAAGTGGTATTTTTTTTTAAGATGTTTTATTTATTTATTTTTAGTGAGAGGGGAAGGGAGGGAGGAACAGAGGGAGAGAAACATCCATGTGAGAGAGAAACACGGATTGGTTGCCTCTTGCATGTGCCCTGGTGGGAATAGAATCGGTGACCTTTCTCTTTGGAGAAAGATGCCCAACCAACTGAGCCACATTGGTCAGGGTAAGAGAAGTGGTGTTTAAAAGCTATAATTTAATGTGCTGATTATTTATTTGTTTGTTTATTTTCAGGATAAGGAAACCTGTGTGGGCACCAACAATCAGAGCTACATCTGTGACACTGGACACTGCTGCGGACAGTCTCAGTGCTGCAACTACTACTACGAACTCTGGTGTAAGTCCTTGCCAGGGGCTTTCTGGCCGCCCAGGGACACTGGTCACTGCCTTTGCTCCTTGGGAAACCGTGGATGGTTTCCCTCTTATTCCCTCGGGGGCAGTGTGGGCGAGTAGAATCCTTTGCCAGGTTGCAGAGGGGACACCTCTGTAGAGGAGGAGAGCTCCGATGCTCTTTGGACACTGCGCTGAGGAGTGGAGAACATGCCTTGAGCCTCCTAAGAGGCCGTGGTTACCAGGTCTGCTGAAGAAAGCCCTGCTCGGGCTCTCTCCGATGCTCTCTCCCTCATGTGCCGAGGAGTGACAACCCCTTAGACCTCCCCATGGGCCGTCCCAGGCTCCCAGGCTCGCCACCTTTGCGAAGAGGTTGGTGCGGCAGCCAAGTTGCTACGAGTGCTGACCTGGGCTCTGTGAATGGCGGTAAAGCCATATATATATAGTTTTGTTTTTTTTTTATAAGAACCACAAAGTTCCAGAACTCCCCATGGAGCATCAAGGAGCTGCCTCTGTTTCTCAGGGACCACCATTCTGTAGCTCACTGCCTACGGAGTGCTCCCAGAGAGAGAGAGAGAGAGAGAGCCCCCTGCGTTTTTGCCCCAGCTCTCAAACTGAAGTGTCTGGAGGCTTTTCCAGTGTACCCACCCTGTTCCTGCCGTGAGCTAAATGCCCTTCGGAGGCAGTCCTTGTCTTGCCCTAGTTTGTTGAAGCCAGGATCACTTGCCCCTTCCAGAGTTGCACAAGGGTGGTGACCCAGCCTTGAAGGCTTCACTAACACACTTTGTACTCTGATCTTCCTGGAACTCAGACAGGACACTGTAGGATGCTGGGCGAAGATTGGGAGGATGCTAGAGTCCTCAGGGCAGAGTCCCACATGATCAGAGCACTGTGCTGGTTCTGAGAACTCTCTGTTGAGAAAGGAAATGATAGGCTGTTTCCCCAGATAATTTTTAGTTGCCCTCCCCTCCATTTTGGAAACAAGCTTTGGTCTTGTTTGCCAAGCCATGCCCTTGTTGCCACCATAACCCTTGCCCTCTTTCCCCCCACCCCCTTCTTTCTGATTTCCCTGCTCCCCTCACAGCAGTGATATGGTCAGAAAGCAGTGAGAAGGGCTATTATCTTATATGGAAAGGAAATTGGGCTCTTGGCTGGGAAGACTCTCCCTTTAAATGCAAATGGATCTTGTAGCCAGTGGGAGTGGTTCTTATAAACAGGACCTCTTTCCACCCCAGCCCTTCCCTTTGAAGACTGAAGACCTAACTCCCTGTCCTTTCTGAGGAATCCCAGGGACAGGCAAAGGCACTCTCCTCCACCCCCTACCCCCGCCCCCCACCCAGAATTGTCGCTGCCAGTTTATAATAGAAGGTATGGGGTTGAGGGACTTAGTAAAGAACACGAAGTACCAAGCAGGTGGACAGACTCTCTTTAAATGTTTTAAAGTGCAGATAACCACAGGGTTCAGATTCTCCCTCCTATCCCTTGTTAAAACAAAAGTTGGAGCTGCGCTGCCAAAAAGCCGCAGAGCCGATGGTTTATTTTCCTGGGGCCTGGCCCAGGCGCGTCCATTGTGGACAGGGACGGAGTGGACGGCGCTGTCTCAGATTGACAGTGCCGCCTGGGCTGTTGGCAGAGCAGACTCGGTAGCCCCTGGAATTGGGTCACCCAAGCCAGGGCAGGGAAGTGGAACGGCGGGGACAGGGAGACCCAGATGGCAGGGAGGCATTCTGGGAACCAGGCACTTCACCCCAAGGACTTAAAAAAAGCCAGAGGTTCATCATCTCTCCAGTGATGGTCCGTTGCGGGGAGAGGGACGCCAGACAGAAACCAGAATCTAGACGAGGAGAAAAGACTCAGCATCAGGGAAGGAGATTGTAAAAGCAAAACCCTCCTCTCCTCTGGGCCCAGAGATAGCTTCTGGGTGAGGAGGCGCTCAGGGAGCGGCCCAGCCCTCAGAGAACTCTTTGGTTTTCCTCCTCATTAGGGTCTTGACCTCTGTCTGATGTGTATAGAGAGGGTTGAGTGTTGGAATGAGCCCTTTCAGTTCTCATCAAAACTGTACTTTTTGTAGCCTTGAACTCTGCTCCCTCTAATTGTCTCTAAACTTAGCCTAAAATGTGAAAGTAATGGGTTATTCCCTTTGCCTCTTTACTCTGGAAGGAAAATCTCAGCCAGGAAACCCTTGGCAGAGGGCGTCAAGGCGGGGGAAATGCTATTTCCACCAACTCTTTTACCTGGATTTTCCTGTGTGATGAGGGCTCTCTCTCTCTCTCGCACACCCCACCCCACTTTTCACAGACACGTAAGTACAGACCTTGAGCTTCAGCCAGCATCCTTTCTCTTGTGTCTTTTCAGACTCTTGAGGCCTAAGCCAGTAGTCATTGCTGGGCTCGCATCAGACAGGAAGTGAAGGTTCTGTTCTCCCAGTGCAGCGGTTGAGGCAATAAGGACCTGGTCAATACTATTACCAGCCTGCACATTTTTATGGCACATGTACTTTTAACTCATCATTCAATCATTTATTCATTCAGCAAACCCATATTCACTGGTTCTTGAACTTTGGCAAGCATCTGAATTTCCTGGAGGGCTCATTAAAACACAGTTTTCTGGGCCCTGCTCCCAGATTTTTTGATTCAATAGGGTGTGAGGTGGACCTGAAGATTTGCAATTCTAATGAATTCCTACCAGATGCTCTGGCCTCTTGTATTAGAAACTGTGGGCCAAAATAGTCTTTGCCATCAAGAAGGGCATTTCTTGCCCTGGCTCGTGTGGCTCAGTGGATTGAGCACTGGCCTGTGAACCAAAGGGTCAGTGGTTCGATTCCCCAGTCAGGGCACATGCCTGCAGGTCCCCAATAAGGGGTGTGCAAGAGGCAACCACACATTGATGTTTTTCTCCCTCTGTTTCTCCCTCCCTTCTCCATCTAAAAATAAATAAACAAAATCTTTAAAAAGAAGAAGAAGAAGAAGAAGAAAGGCATTTCCTAGCTGAGAGAGGAGATGACAGGATGCCCCAGGAGATATATTTGCCAGGGCTACTGTGAATGTTCAGAAGGAGAGTTAGCTTTGTCTGGGCAGGAGTCAGGCAGGCTGCATGGCAGAGGTAGCATGTGGAGCGGGCCTTAAAAGGTAGATAGTGTTGAGGCACATGGAGAAGGGTAGAATGATTTTCCAGGCAGAGGAACACCGGAGGCCAAGGCCCCGTGAGAAAGAACAGAGTATGGGTCACATTAACCTTCCCCCTGGGGCTTGACTGGGAGGAAATAGGTGATAATAATGGTGCTAATGTACATAGAACCCTGCTAGTGCCAGTCGCTAAGTGAGGTTTTCACATACATCATCTCTTTTCACCTAGAAAACACCTTGCTAGATGCGCATATCATCCCTGTGTCTCTGGACCAGGGCTATGCAGCTGAGTAGTAAGGTCAGCGCTCCTTATTCCAAAGCCTTCCAAGTGCCAGGCTAGAAGGGTGAAGGGCCCAGGCCATGGTGGGTCTCAAATGTCCATATTTACTTTCCACCTAAGGATGCACTTCTTGCAACAAACTTAATACATTGTGTACCACATAGAAATCTCTAAGACATACGCCAGGGTCGAATGACGAAAATACAATGTAATTGCAATGTTTTATGGGTTTGTGCAATTACATAGTTTTTTGTAGATTGACCTGCACGGTTTCCACCAATGAGATCGCTTCATTCAATGTGGACAAGACAGTGTGCTGACATCTAAAGTCCATAACAGATGGCTCGTGAAAAACGAGAAAACTCGTGAACGGTCCTTAACAGATGGCACGCGAAACCCGAGAAAACCCGTGGGTGGTACGCAGTGTGTTAAGAACCACGACCTGGGGAGGCTGGGAACATACTCAAGGCCAAAGAACCTGAACTCAGACCTCCCAATCCTCATCCCAGGGCTCTTTGAACTCACCCAGCTCCATTTTTCAGGGAGAGGCCAGGGTTGGGAATTTCTGCTCCTGAGATAATTTGGGGGCTGTTCAATCAGGCATCAGTTTTCACTGGTTTGGGCTTTAATGAAGGATGGGGGAGTGTTTCTAGACAATGGGATTTCCCTGAGATGACCTGAAACAGATTATTAGTAAATCCAGTTAATGCTGAACAGCTTTTCACATACTAACATTTAAAAAAAAAATTTAATTTGCCCGTTAAAAAAATTTTATTTAACTTACTGATTTTGGAGAAAGGCGGGGAGGAGGGAGAGAGAGAGAGAGACATCAATGTGTTGTTCCATTTATTTATGCACTCATTGGCTGATTCCTGTATGTGCCCTGACCAGGAATTGGACTCTCAACGTTGGTGTATTAGGATGACTCTAACAATTGAGCTACCCAGCCAGGACGATTTTTAGTTTGTCTTAAGATACCCATTGTTGAGCTGCTCTTAAGGAAGGCCCACAGCGCTTGCCACCCTGAGCAAAGTGGAGAGCAGGGAGCTGGGGCCTTCTTCTAGGCACTTACTGGACCCTGGTTCCTCAGTAGTCTGAGCTTCAGGACAGAGGGAAGTTGATCAGCAGCAGATGGGCCGATTTTCCAATATATTTAGCCAAGAGTAGAACCTAGAAGCAGACTTTGGACTTGTTCCCTACTCTTGCTTTTTTTATGGATTAAAAGGGAAATTTAAAGGAAACCCTGGCCACCTGCAGCCATGCCTATAACAATAGTAATACTAAGCTAGAGAACTTACACTCTACCAGGCATGGTTCTGAGTGTTCTGCATATATTAGCTAATTTTCCTCATAATGATCAAGTAGGTAGAGCATTATTCTCCCCATTTAACAAGTGAGGAAAGTAAAAAAAATGACCAAGGTCACAAAGCTAGGAAACGATTTTGTGAGCTGGGATTTGAACCCAGGTTGTCTGCCTCTTCTGCTTTGTCTTTGCAGTCATGCTTATAGGAAACTTGTCCAGTCTTTCAGATAAAGTTGCAAGTCCTCTAAAGTCTTCATTTCTCAAATTCAGGCCCTTTCCCCAGTGACAATGACAAGTAGGTCCTTTTGAAAGGTATAAGGAGCCCAGAGGGGTCACCTGCCACCCTGTAAAGGAGAGCTAACTTACAGTATGCTCTGGCTTCCTAATGAGGAATTTCCTGCCAGTCTGGGAGTGGTGTTTTCCCAAGTTTATTGTGAGCTCTGGGGCACATGACTCAGTGCCTGTGTTGGATTGTAATTGTTTTTAAAAACGTTTCCATTTTGCTTAGCATGACACATGCTCCCCATCATGAGGTCACAAATTTCAAAGTTGTCATTGGGGAATGTAATTTCTGGGTAGGTATGTGATTGGGAAGGAGGGTGTAATTCATTCTTTTGCTGTGTGTCTCTTTCATTAAGTTTTCCTTTTTGAAGCTTTTCCTTGTTCGTGAAATCTAGCAAAAAGATCAATAATTGACATAACTCCATAGAGACTAGTCTAGATTTATTTCCTGTTTTAAAGTTGAGGGGACACTGCTTTGACTAGAATGGCTCCCAGGAGGATCCCTTTTGTGAGAGTCAGACAAGACTACCTTCTGCATTCCATTAGGTAGGGACCGTTCATCGAGGGCTCTTTTTTGGACCTTTACTAATACCACATCGTATCATCAGACCCATTCTGCTCTGGAGTTAGTTTCCCCAGTTTGATCCACACAAATAATCCAGTTGTCTCTTTTCTTACCCCATTCCCCTTCTGACCTGACTGATTTTTCCTTAAAAAAAGAAAAAAGAAAAAAACCCCTCTTTTTTCTGTTATGCTTCTATTCTAGTTCAGTGGATCTCAGCCTTTCTGTGGATCAAGGATCTACTTAAGAATCTGTTGAACCCTTTAAATCCTTTCACTCAAAAAAGCCTGTAAATTCACTTTATCAGTCAGGATAGGCTAGGTTATGCTACAGTAACAAACAAGTCTAGAATCCTGGTGGACAAACAACAGGTTTACTTCTCATCACTATCTGGAATGTTGCCAATTGCCATGACAGAAGGAAGACTCAGTGGAGGGTCTCACATATGCAAGAAATGTTCTGGCCTCTAAGAGAGACATATGTCACTTCCCAATCCCAATTCATTAGTTAGAACCAGTCTCAAAGCCTCATCCTATCAGAAACGGGGCAGGAAGTTCAACCTACCCTTCCTGGGTTTTGGCTAGAGTGAAAAACCAATGAATGAGATTTTTTCCTATTAAAAATGTGTTTTTAAATTTTTGTTTATTTATTTATTTAATCCTCACCTGAGGACATGCTAATTGATTTTAGGGAGAGAAACGTCGACCTGAGAGAGAAACATTGGTTGGTGCATCTCATGGGCTCCTACCAGGACTGACCTTGCAACCGAGGCATGTGCCCTGACTGGGAATTGAACCCATGGTCTTTGGGTCCAACCAGCTGAGCCACACCAGCCAGAGCATGTTATAAAATCTGAGAAATATTGCCTTAGATCATACATTTTGCTGCATGAAAGTTAAAAGTAGTGTTAAATGCTGATTATCTAATGGGAGAATGTACTTTCTAAATTATCAAGTAACACAGAACTATGAAGGATTGTGAGGTTATACTAGAAAAACTAACAGAACTAAGAGTAATATAAAAGAAGTATTCAGCCCAGAATCTTTTTAACTTTGAAATTCACCTGGAGTCGGGCTCTTCAGCAGGGCGCACTCTGCTTTTCCGCGGTGCCTCCTGCAGTGCAGCCCCACCCTGGGTGGCCCGGAGCCAAGCAGACTGGCGGTCGGGGGTGTGGCAGGTCAGCAGCAGGCAGCCAGTTCACTCCGAGCTCCTTCCAGGCCTCAACACCATACTCTGAGGGCCCCTCTAATGGTGTCTGTCTGGGCTTCGGTCAGCCAGCATCAGGAGAGAAATGTATGGTCAGTTAAGCACACGTCAGCAGTGAATCTGGGAAGCGGACCACAAGGGAGACTTCTAACTGCAACTTAAGGTGTATGTTCTGTGGTTAGGAAAGAGGCTTTTCTGTCCGCTGATGGGAGAAAGTCCACCATCCATTCCCTTCTGCATGTTCTGTTGCCAGGCCTCTGCAGAAAGTTCCGTTGAACACTGACATGTACCACAAGCAGTTAGGCGTCAAACAGCTTGCCAGAGCCTGGAAGCTCTGCCACCATGCCATCTCACCCTGTAAGGGTGGCTTTGTGGGGAGATTTCAGTGGGGACACCCCTGGGGGACAGAAGGAGCTGTTGCCAGAGGCCACACCCTAAATGTCGCTGGGATCTTTCAGAATATTGTGTTCTGGTACAAATGTGAAAAAAAATCAGGGTCTATTCATTTGCAAGTCTGTCTGTAGGGAGAAGGGAGCCTTTAAAACAACAACAATGATGTTAACTCATTCTGGCAAGAGGTACATGTGGAAATACTTAACAAATTCTAAACACAGATTTATAATTAAAAAGCAGATGATAAAAAATAGACTTAACATTTGTAATGGAAAAAATTGAAGTTATTCAGAAATAGAGAACAAATGAACAATATACTATTCTCATTTAAAAACAACTCACCTTAAAATTATTCCTCAGGTAGTTTTCTTTTAAACTCCCACCCAAGCATATGTGTTTATTGATTTGAGAGAGAGAAACAATCTGAGGGAGGAAGGAGTGGGAGAGAGAGAAACATTGATGTGAGGGAGAAGCATCCATCGGTTGCCTCCTGTGTGTGCCTCAACCAGGATCAAACCCGAGACCCTTTGGTGCATGGGGCAATGCTCCAACCGACTGAGCCACCTGGCCAGGGCCTCACATAAATATCTTTATAGTTTCAAAGAAGTACACATTCATCTTAGAAAAATTAGGAAATGTAGATAAGCAAAAAATGAGGGAGCTAGTACCAGAAAATCTGTTGTCTTGTTTTCCAGGAATAACCCCGTGATTGACTTTCTGATCATTCCTCTAGATGTTTACATATCCTTTTTTAAGGCAAAAATTGGGATCATATTTTATACTGTCTTGTAATGTGCTTTTTAATTTAATATCAGAAACATCTTTATATGTCAAAAAATAGTATCTATGAATGATTTTTTAATGACTCATATCATTTCATTGTATGACTATATTCCCAGAGGAATTAAAAAAACCCATCCAGAAATATATTAATTTTTAAAATAAAAGCCAGCAAAAATGAAGTTAATTACAGATACTGTTTTGATTTACTTTGTTTCTAATTTTATAATTTTTTTTTTAAGATTTTATTTATTTTTAGGGAGAAGGGAAGGCAGGGAGAAAGAGAGGAAGAGAAACATCAATGCGTGGTTGCCTCTCACATGCCCCCTACTGGGGACCTGGCCCACAACCCAGGGATATGCCCCAGTCGGGAACCGAACCTGCGACTCTTTGGTTCGCAAGCCGACACTCAATCCACTGAGCCACACCAGCCAGGGCTCTTAATTTTATAATTTGAAAGAAGAAGATAATTGGGAAAACAAAAATAAAATTTGTCATAATCTCACTACTTAAAGATAAGTCTCTAGTTTTGTGGTTTGTGTTCCAGTTTCCCTCCATATGTTTATGCATTCCAAAGCAAAATTGCTCATTAATTAAATATTTAGAAGGCTTTTCTGCACACATTTGAAAACTGGAGAGGGGATCTTATACTGGGGTTAGCCAAGATACTCTGAGTAACTAACCAAGAGAACCAGTGGGAAGTGAGAAGAATTAATGCACTCAAAGAAAAGAGGGCCGGGAGGGGGCCTTCTCCGCCCTTCCCCTCCCTACCCACCCCCCTCCGGAGCAGGGAGGAAGAAGGGCAGGTCGCTAAGGGCCCTGGCCCTGAGTCTAATGCAGTGGCAGGTCAGAGGAGGTGGGAGGGGATTGTTGGTGTGACAGTGGGAGCTGGAATTGTACCGGATTATATCAAGAGCCGAGGAAGTCATTTGCACTCCCTAGGGAAGAGATGGACCTGAGGCAATTAGAATTTTCCACCTCTAACTTCAGGGACTCTTCTGTCAGCGAGGCCTACATGGTAGAGAAAAGTCCCAGAACGTTTTGGTGATATCAGGAGAACCCAGAACGATCTATCAGGCAGCCCCTTTGAGGTCCCTTGCAGTTGCTAATGAGCTGAGTTGTGGGGATTTTGAGAGGCTCCGTGCTTTTGGTAAACAGACTGGTGTCCGCAACCGGAAGGAAGCCTGGGAGCTGTCCTTCTGGGAGAAGATGAGCACTAAGAGAAGGTAAAGCATTTTCTCAGAGGTCTCTTGAGAGAGGAAGAATATGCTGCCCACCAAACCTAAAATAAGGGAGGAAATGGTGCTGGAGGGTTTCCTCGGCATTCTTCCCTTCCCCTGAGGTCCCTGGAGGCTCCCCAGAGTGATTGGCCTTTACTGTCATTCTTACAGCCCTGCCCTCTCCCATCCCACAGGTCTTTCACTGTGACCCAGACATTTATGCAAATTGAATGCAGGTTGCCCTGGCCCAGTAGTTCAGTTGGTTAAGAACGCTGTTTCTGTATACCAAGGTTGTGGGTTCAATCTCCAGTCAGGACACGTACAAGAAATTGATGTTTCCCTCCTTCTCTCTTTCTCCCTTCCTCTCTCTCTAAAATCAAATTTTTTTTTTTTTTAATTAAGAAAAGAAAACTGAATGTAGGTTCTAAATGTTAATTCCTGACAGTGACTGCTTTGACCAGGCGGGCACTGCTGGGGACCTCCCTCTTCTGAGAGCTGCTGGTCTCGCTGGTGTTCACTGTGTCCCTGCCCCTCTGTCTTGTGTCCCTGCCCCCAGGGTTCTGGCTGGTGTGGACCATCATCATCATCCTGAGCTGCTGCTGTGTCTGCCATCACCGCCGAGCCAAGCACCGCCTTCAGGCCCAGCAGCGGCAACACGAAATCAACCTGATTGCCTACCGGGAAGCCCACAATTACTCAGCGCTGCCATTTTATTTCAGTACGTACACCCAAAGCTACCTAACCCCACCCTGTGGAGCCCGGGATGCACCGACGCTGTGCGTCAGTGGCCAGGGCTCTTATGGGCATTGGGGTTTTTACCTCCTTGCCTAGCACAAAGCAGGGTTTCAAAAGTGCAGGAAAAAGGAGGTGGTCTTGTTGAGCACAGAGGAGCAGTGCTGTAGTGGATACAGCCCCTTGAAGCCACTAGGCCATTCCAAATCTACACTGGCTGGGTTCTGATATTTATTTTTTAGGCTTCATTAGCGGATATTTATTTTTTAGGCAGGTAAGTTGGATGGTATATGATGTGAATGAATTGAGATTCAGAGGTCACTGGTCTGAAAGCCTCCCAAGCAGAGGCTGCCATGGAAGAGGCAGGTGTGGGGGGTGACTTTGGGACTTCCTGAGAATCAAGAAACTTGGTGCCTCCCTGAAGGGCACTTACGTTGCTTCCCTAGGCCTCCTACGTATGGCCTCTCAAATGGTCAGGTGGCGGCCCGCCTGCGCAGCTTGTCCAAAGCCTTTCCGCAGTGTGTTTTCCAGAAAACAAGTGACCACAAATGTGGAATTTCACATCTAGAAGAGTTAAGTGCTTAGCAGAGTGCCTGGCATCTAGCAAGTGCTCAGTAAATGCTAATAATTATTGTCATAATTAGATCGCCAGTGCCTCAAGGCATTCAGCACAGGCAGACTCACCTGGCATGTTCTTGAGCCTTGGATGACAGACCCTCACCCTTTGCTGGTAACCCGCCCACTCTTGGTCTGAGTCAGGATGAGGTTCGGTTGGTCTTTCCAGGCCACTTCCAGCCACGCTAGAGTGAGACAACGCAGATTTCTAAGCTCCCGAAAAGAGTGGTCAGGGCGCCCTCAGTTAGGGTCCTTGACCCTGAGGCTCATGGCACGTGGATGGAGGACAGCCTGACCGTGTAACCGAGGCGTACGTGCCTGTGAAAACAGGCGCGTTCCAGGCAGACGTGATCTCTCCTTGGATGTCCACCACACTTGCCTAACCCTCTGCCTTCACGCCAGACCAGACGGCCAGGAACCTTTGCCTATGAAGCAGCTTTAGGGGCTCTCCGGTTTCACGAAGCCAGGTTAGGTTACTCCCACAGGCCTCTCCCCTGCCTACACCAAGAGGTGTAGCTGCCAGTCGGTGGATGTGCTGGGGGTGGGAAGACATGTATGTTTAGTGTCTCTGTCCTAGATCCATTGCCAGGGCAGTAATTTCTCCTCCCTACCTCCCCATTTCTAGGGTTTTTGCCAAACTATTTACTACCTCCTTATGAGGAAGTGGTGAACCGACCTCCAACTCCTCCCCCACCATACAGTGCCTTCCAGCTGCAGCAGCAGCAGCTGTCTGCTCAGTGCGGCCCTGCGGGCGGCAGCCCCCCAGGCGCCGATCCCTCCAGGGGCTCCCAAGGGGTGCAGAGCAGCCCCTTGTCTGGGCCCAGCAGAAGCAGCACGAGACCCCCAAGCATCATCGCTGACCCTGAGCCCTCCAACACCGACATGCCAGCCAACCCCGCAGCCACCAAAGCCCCGGGAATGGAGCCCTCCGGCTCTGTGGCTGCCCTGGGGGAGTTGGCCCCTGGGGCCTTCCTGGACAAGGATTCCGAATGTAAGGAGGAGCTGCTGAAAGATTACAGCTGCGAGGGCGCCCTCCCCGACGGCAAGGATAAGACGCCCGGCAGACATCGCCGCTTCACTGGTGACTCGGGCATCGAGGTGTGTGTGTGCAACCGGGGCCACCATGACGACGACCTCAAAGAGTTCAACACACTCATTGACGACGCTCTGGATGGGCCCCTGGACTTCTGTGACAGCTGCCACGTGCGGCCCCCTGGAGACGAGGAGGAAGGGCTCTGCCAGCCCTCTGAGGGGCAGACCTGCGACCCCGCGCATCCCCACCTGCCACGGCCTCCCGCGTGCCTGCTGCTGAACACCATCAATGAGCAGGACTCCCCGAACTCGCAGAGCAGCAGCTCGCCCAGCTAGAGCAGGCCCTGCCTGTGTCCGAGGACTCGGCAAAGCAACCAGGGTAGGGGAGAACCACGAAAGAAGCATTAAGTGACTTTCAGAGAAAGTGGTACAGCCACTTGGTTCCTTTTTTTTTCCCCCTTTCTTTCTTTTTCCCTCTTGGTTCCTGCATTTTCCTACATCTCCAGGTACAGTTTGGGATGTGGATGCCTCCCCCCCCACATAAGCACATTGTTGTGGAGGGCTGAAAAGTTGGTTCTGTGACTCATTCCTCATATCCCACCCCTTCCTCCTTTTCAAGTCATATCTCACTACCTGTGGGTCGAAGAGATGTGTGTTAAGAAGCCCCCGAGGAAGGGGGCTAAGACTGTCCTGAGGTGACTTTGGGTGATGGAGTGGATTTTTGCTCTGGTGTTAGTGTAAGAAAACCATGTTTTGTCAGCCCAGGAGAGGCGGCAGGTCTCAGGCCTGGGTGCAGGTTGCCACCCCTCGCTGCCCGTGTCTGCAGAGCCAGGCTAAGCCTGTGGGAGGACGAGAGCTGACGGGCAGTTAGATGTGTGGTAGGCGGGTAAGGGTTTGTTGCGTTTCCAAATTCCGGGGGGCGAGATTGCTGCGTTCCTGGGGGTCCCTGCCGGTCCCTGCTGGTCCGTGCCCAGCTTGTTCTGGCTGGCTGCAGACTTTCAGTGTAGAGATTATACTGCCTTCTTTTTGGCCTTTTTTTTTTTTTTTTTTTTTAATTAAAAAGAACAAAAGCGAGCTGAAAACAAGAACTTTACCAGTGGGCAGGCAACAATTCTGCTCTGGAAAAGGGAAGTCTTACGGCTCTTTTCCCAAGTTGGCCTTCAAAGAGTCTGGCTGCAATTGAACCAGGAGATGTTTCTTGTACTGGCTTGGGTGGGGGTTATCTCTGGAACTTCCTCGGGTGCTCAGGAGGCCCGAAGCCATGGTGGTGGATAGAGGCGCAGCTTTCTGCATCTCTGCCCATAGGTCTGTGCCCATGGGTGACCGGGGCCCCCTCCCGCTACTCCCCCTGCCCCCGACCCCGTCCCAAGCACAGTCTGTGGGCCTTGATATCTCACTCTTGTATATGAACAAATGAGGAGGCTGTGGGACCTGAGGAAGGGCACCCCCGGAGCCTGGCTCTCACACAGTATTTTCTCTTGATTCTGAGTAAGCTTTTTGTTTTGTTTTGTTTTTAACTGCTTGGAGAAACATGCCTCGGTTATCTGTGGTTTCCATGCCCTTCCCCTCCCCTCTTCCATGTGAGCGGGATCACTAATCATTGTGGCCTTTGTGAAGAGTTTCAGTGGCCCAGGAGGGGGTGAAGGCAGCAGCCAGGAAGGACCACGGGATCCTTATTACTGCAGTTTGGCTTCAGATAACCAGTTGAGCTTTGATAGGAATAATCTGAATGGAAAAGCAAACAGCCAAAATTAACATTCCCTGTCCAGCCCTGTTCATATGAAGAGTTTGGTTCTTCCCTCACTCTTGAATGATGACATTCAGACTAGGCATTGACGTTATGATAAGAAAGGGAAAAAAATACATATGTATACAAAAATAGACAAATCCAAGGCTGCGAGGTGAACGAGTGTCTGCGTTTGGAGTCCACAAAACCAAAATCTGTGTTGAACAAAGTGAAGTCTGTATACAATGACTCTTTGGGTAACCTGTGTGTGTCTGTCCGTCGTGTGTGAGCCCCCAGCCCTGTTTTCCTGTGAACATACTTTGAATGGCAGCCATTCTGCTCTCATTGATCACAGGTTTGGAGCACCTATGGCCCTCTCAAGGTAATTTATTTTACGCATTTACTGTTTACTGAACAAATGTCTGACTGTGTACTTGGGTGTATTCAGCAGCATTGTCGACGGCAGTCCCCGTGTTTGCCAGGGACACTGTCCTCGAAGTAGAGGTTTTACTCTACCCATCACTGCAATTTGCACATTGCTCCGTGGACACTCGGAGGCCTGTGTTCTGTTCCCTGTAAATGGAAATGTGCTCTGAACCTGACTGCCTCCCTCAGCTGCTCCTGGCCCTCGGTATCAGCCCCCTAGGGGGGTGTTCACAACCACTCGGGACAGAAACTGAAGGTGGAACTTCACACAGAAGGTTATTTGGATCTTCAGGGACAAGCTTGGACTAGCTGTGGCCCAGACGTCAGCCCTGCCCAGAATTGCCAGGAGGGTTTGGCAGGCACCACGGGCTCACCTCACTCTGCTGCGGTCCAGCGCAGGCAAGCCAGCTGGTGTGTGGCGAGAGAGGGCGGGAGTGTGTCCACAGCCCTCAGATGCCTTTCCTTCCACCATCCAAAAAAAAAAAAAAAAAAAAAAAAAAAAAATTCCCAAGCAACTCACTGAGGTGTCTCCAAGGAGATCAAGTTTTACCAGAATGAATCCTCCTTCAGTGAACTGACCAGATGGAAGAATTCTGGCCCTCTTCCTGGTCCCTTCCCCAGCTAGAGTGGGGAACTGGTCTCAGTGTTAGGGTTCACCACAGCATCCTGCCTAAAGGCAGGAGGAGAGGTGGATGGACACTGGGGGCTGGGCTTGACTGCAGGAGTCCCAGTCTGTCCCCTGCTCCCGGAGGCTCCCTGGAGCACAGACAGGTGGATATGGGGAGTGGAAGGACTCGTTGCGGGGCCAGGGGGGTTTGGTTGAGCCTGGTTTCCCGGGTGAGTTGAGAAGGAAGGTCTTTGTTGAGGGTTTGGTGCTAGTCAGATTTGCAAATGCTAACACATTCCTATGTGAGGCACATCACCATTTGTCAGTTATTGTGAATATGTGTATTTTAAGCAATAAGATTCAGCTGGTTAGACCTTTCTGGGCAGTCTCGGTGACGCATTTCCTGCGCTGTTATTGTTCTGAAGACAGAGTGGCTCTAACCACTGTGAGAAGCCCAAATAAAATCAATCCCCAAAATTCGACTGTGCTTTTTTTCCTTGAAGCATTTCGTTCTTTTTTCCTCTACCTCAGACTTCCCGGAGTCGCACCTCAAGATTCCTAGCCGCAGGCGCTTTCTCCTCTGTGCAGAGGCTGAGGGCGGTCACACAGCAGTTCAGGATAGGCTCCTGGGCCAGGCTGAAACCGCAGGGCCAAGGCAGGCCCGGGCCACACTCTGTGCTGAGGAGCTTCCCCAAGCCCTCCTTCTGCCAAGGGTGTATATATGCCCGACGTGTTAGTACTTTGTAAAGTACCACCAACAGGTTACAGTCAGACCCCAAAAAAGGAGAAACAAGTTCGGTCAGATACCTCAAAGCTAAAACACGACATTGAAGCACTGAAATCTCTCTCAGTGATATGATAGAAATGTGAGTGGGTGCTTGGCCTTGGCATTTAATACGCAAACTGTGTATTAGTGAGTCTCCCACATGGTGCCCAGCACTGTGCTGGATGGCTGCTGAGGAGGCCATGGAAGAACTGTACTTCCCTGCCCTCTGAAGCTACAGCTAGGAAGACAAAAACATACCCAGGTGGCAGTTGAACTGTGAGGCAGATGGAGATGAAGTGAGTGGTTCAGATTCAGAATGTTGAGTAGTCATGGGAGGTAGTTTGAGGTCTTGAATACCAGGTATGGAACTCAGAACCAATTTTTAAGCTCTGGTGGAGCCACTGGTGTGCCAACACCTGCCACTGTGGGACAGTGATTGTTCCCAAGACTCACTGGCATTTCATTCTATGCTTAAGACTGTCCTGCTAGAACATTGAGTCAGATATAAGTCCCTGCTTAAAGGGGAGGAACAGCCCAACCCAGCAAGACTCCTTTTCAGGTGGCAGACAGCAGCAGGGCAGTTTAATGTGGAACGCTCCCAGGAGGGGGTTCTGTCTCCCCTGCGGAGTGCCCCCTAGTGGGGGAAAGGTGGCAGGGAGCCGACAGCATCCTCTCCCACAGCCTCTGAGTCTACCCTGCAGTGAGCACTACTGCTTCTAAGTTCTGTATAAGCCAGATATGTCCCTGCCTCTGGTTTTGGTCCTGGCCCTTCAGTGACTAGTAGGATGGTTGCCGCCCCTCCAAGTAACCCGAAGGGAGCCACAGTAGTATCTGAAGACAGTTCTAAAGCTGCAGAGAAGAACTGAAAGAAGACATCATTCCTGCCTCCTTTAACCAAGTGGCAGAAAAACAAACGCAACCCCTACAGGCTGTATGCAGAGGCTGTGCATGTATCCTTGATGCCCAGCTCCATAGCCCCCTCTCCCCAACACTGTACCCCAGGCTCCTGGGTCACTGAGTTCCTCCTCCAAGTAACCCGAGTTCACGTGGAGACAGCACAGATGCCCTGAAGCACAAATCAGAGTAACTTTGATGAACAAGAATTTCAAGAAATTCCCCATTCTCCAGTTTCTTGTTTCAGGGGGAGGGCAGAACCAGGGTTTCATTCGGTCGAAGGAGGTGGGGGGAGTAGGTTTGGCTCCCTGTTGGCCTAACCTGCTGGAGGCTGGCTTCTGGCTGAACCCAAAGGACAGTGGGGCCTGGGAGGTGCTTGGGATTATGTGTGTCCACCCTGGGGGTGAGTGACCGGCCTTAAGAGCTGATCATTTATTGAGCACTTACCATGTGCTAGGCATTAGAAATGCAAATACCCTGTATGCCTTAGACCTGCCTCCTCTTTAGAAGAGCTGATGGTCTAGGGAGGAAGAAAGGCCTGAAAACAGTTTTAGCAGCACATGGAAGGTACCATGAAGCATGTGGCGCCCAGGACCCTGGAAGAGAATGTGCCTGGGGCGGAGTAGGAGGGGCTCAGGACAGCCTTCCCGGAACAGAGACCTCTGCACTGAGCTTGCCAGGTGAGAAAAGTTGTAAAGGGCGTTCTGGGCGAATATTCAACCTGTAGACTATTGAGCGCCCACTATCTGCCAGGTGCTGAAAGTCACAAAAAAGCGTGATAGGTCTAAAATGAGAGTGTGGGCGTCCTGTCTAAACCTGCAAGCAACTCAGTCTTTCTAGATGATTGCGTTCTGGGGAGTGACGGGAGGTAAAGCGGGGAGGCAAACTGGGAATAAAAGTGATTTAACCTACCTTTATTGTTTCCATATGTTGATTGTATGCAATGCTGGAACTTGGAGTAAGCATCTTACTTACATTTTTATTTATTCATTATTTTTTAAAAGAATTTATTTACTTTTAGAAGGGAGGGGAGAGAGAGAGGGAGAGAAACATCGATGTATGTGAGATGCATCAATCAGTTGCCTCTCACATGCCCCCAAATTGGGACCTGGCCTGCAACACAGTCATGTTCTCTGACTGGGAATTGAACCAGTGACCTTTCAGTTCACAGGCTGGCATGCAATCCACTGAGCGACACCAGCCAGGGCTTGCCTACATTTTTAAATTTTAGCCTCAGAACAGCCCTTTGAGGTGTGTACAGTGATTAGTCTTGCTTATTTAATGGGATTGAGGTGTTCAGAGGTGTCCCCAGATTACACAGCTAGTACGTGGTAGAGCCAGAATTTGAACCCACATCGTTTGACTCCAAAACCCAGGCAATCCACTAGTCCGTGGGACAGTTGTAGAATTTGTATCAAGTGAAGGACTTTACTTTTCAAAGGTGAGAGGGAACCAGAGAAAGGTGTATTGAACAGGGGAGTAGCATGGTGAAAAGTGAATCAGGTACCTTATCTCAGAAGCTACTTTATTCCCCTCCCCCTTGCCTTGTCATAAGCTCTCAGAGGCCCCCATATCCCGATAAGCTTCACCCAGCAGAGCCCCTCAGAGCTAAAATGGCCTCCAGTTTCCACAGGGAGGTGTAACTTCTTGGAAACATTGTAAAACTTTCAGGAGTTAAAGGTCTGGGTCCTCTTTGTATCTTTTCCTTGCAACAGTGTTTTTTCCTCTGGTGAGACAAAAAGAGCTTTGGGCCCAGCCCTTGTGACTGGGTTGAGCATCCTCCTGGGAACCTGAAAGGTCCTCACTTTCATTCCCAGTCAGGGCACATGCCTGGGTTGCAGGTTTGGTCCCCTGGGACATGTACAGAAGGCAGCCACATTAATGTGTCTCATGCTCTCTTTCTCCCTTCTCTAAGATATAAAATATTTTTTTAAAAAGAGAGAAGAGCTTGGGTGGCTTATGAGGGGAGAAGAGGATTTGTTTGATCTGAAGTTGCCCCTAACTTGGTATAAGCCAGCCCCTCACTGCGGTTTAACCTTCCATTGCATGTCTCACCAAGGAGGCTCAAGAAACCCAATCCTACTGAACATGTTACAAAACACCCTCAATTTGGGACCCATGAAAAGTTCGTCTCTGGGCGCTCCGCCCACCCTCTGGGGGGAGGGAGGGGGTGGCGGGCAGGCCATTCAGAGCTGCCAGGGTAGGCTCCTGGGGGTCCTGTCGTTCAGGTGGACCACCTGGACACACTGGTCCTCCTCCTGCCCAAGCAGGTGGCCTTTGGGAGGTTTGTATAAAACCCTGAGAGGACTTATTTTGTGGATGTGGATACAGGCAATGACAATAACACGTTGCATAGGTCCATCTGTAGTTGACCCTCAGCAGCACTCTGCAGTTGGTGGTACTGTTCCCACACACACCACTGCCCATATTACAGATGAGAAGACAGGTTTAAGAAGGCCAAGTAAGTTGCCCATGGTCATTCAGTCTGTAAATGACGACCCCGAACTTGCCTCCGCAGCCAGGTTTTTGCCGTCACTGCGGTTGGTGTGGAACCCCTGCTCACACAGCCCTTTGCGCTCCTCGTCCTCAGCAGAGCCTCAGGTGATGGGCAGCACAGGTGGTAAGTTACCCCACTGTAGAGAGGAAGGGAGCGGGGTTGAAGAAGCTGGCAATGGACTTGAATCAAGGGCTAGGAACCTGGGGAGTCTGGCGACTAGAGTGTGGGTGTTCGGGTCCTCCTTTTCTGGTGCTCTCTCCTTCCACCCCACTCTGTGATTGATCCCCGTCCTGTAGAGCTGGGTGTTTACACCTATGAGCATGACTGGACAGAGGACTTCTCATTTGCTTCTGGTTTTGTGGCCACCAGAGGCGGAGCAGGACAACCTCGCACCCACCCACACTCCACACCAAGGCTCCCGGGGATGGGGCCCCTGTCCCTCAGGGTGAGGATGCTGGGCTGCTCTTCTGACGGACAGGGCAGCTCATCTCTCCTAGGAGGGCTGACTCTTAGCTCACAAGAGCTGATTATAAAATTGTCAGGAATTTTGTGAGCTGTAGTAAATGATTTGTACCCTATAATGGTAAACAACATAATGCTACTGTGCAGCTTTTTCCATCTCAGTGGTCAGTGGCATCACATCGGTGACTTGAAATCGGCCATGGTGGGAGTGTTTACACCATGGTAATTAGCACGCCATACACATCAGGGCTACTTCCCACCACCAGCGCCAGAGCACTGGTTGGTTCAATGTTTGTTTATCACCATTAAGGGCAGTCTGAGGCTCAAAAGGTAACTAGGTTCTTGGACTAGACCGTCCAGCTTATCCAAAGACCTGGGCTTCCTTCTAGGTAAGGACATGGAGTCTATTTATCGCTGGACCAATTAGCCGCGTGATATAGAGCGTCTGAGTCCTCTCGTGACTAAGCTTCCGCTTGTTAGGAATGACATGCGGAATGAAGAACATGAGCGGGCTCAGTCTTGAACACCAGAGATACAGGAGTGGATGCTGTCCCTTGGGGACCCCACACCCATCTGAAGTCCAGGCAGGTGCTCAGGTGCACGTGGGATGTAGTACCAAGGAACAGAAGCTGAGTGCTAAAAGGGGACAACCCCGGGGGGGGAGGGGCAGGAACCTTGAGGCAGGTCCTGGAGGAGGGCTTGTGACACGTGGTGGCAGGATTTGGAGCAGAGCAGGAAGGCCTTCCAGGCCGGGGAAGGACAGGTGGGGGAGGGGTCAGAGGTCATGAGGTCCTTTCCTGAAAGGACGCCCAGCTTTGTCCTCTCCCCAGCCAATTGCCTGAGAGCCCTTCTGCAGGGACATGGGACAAGTAGGAGGGCACATCGGGCTCCTCATCCTGTGCCATTGAAATCTTGGGTTCTGGTTCCAGCACTGCTGCTAAGTAAGTAGCTGTGCGACTTAGGGCAAGTCACCCCCCACCCCCACCCCCTGCTACCCTGACCGGCCCTCAGTTTTGTCATCTTCAAAATGAAAGGTTAGTCTCATTTCCCTGCCATTCAAAGATCTGATTCAATAGTTGGAGAGTAGACGTTTCCATCCCAGTTACACACACCTGCTGCTTCTACAGGAGACACAGACCCTCTGCTAGTTATTTATCTGTTCATCACTAGTCTGCGAAACGCTTTTCAGATTTTGAGCACATTTGGAATAGCTGATTCCCTCTTCAGCCGATTTCCTCTCTGAGTGGATCTGTGGGTAGCTTGGCACTAGACCAGTGGCCACCGACTGAGAGAAGAGGAAGGGGTGGGGGACCCTCCAGTTTAATCCTTTCCCATCAGCTCACTGCGGTGCCTACATCTCTCCAGGCTGCTTGTGATGGGGGCTGGCGTCAGCCCCAGCTGCCCACAATCTCTCCTCCGGGCTCCTTAGCAAGGCCTGGGTCACTGGTCACTGAAGGCCAGGGCTGAGTTGGGGGGACAGCAGGGAATGGTCTACTACCACCGGGCCAACAGAGCTCTTTGAAGGAAGGTGCTGCTGTAATGGAAGACCTTGACTCCCTCCTTTCAAGGGATTCCCTGATTTCTTCTCCGAAAACTTGACCAGGCAGGGTCTCTACCTTGCCCTGCTGGCCCACCTGGGGTCCCCCTGCAGTCAGGGGGGAGGGACAGGGGTGTTGCTGATCTGACCGTGGTCTGGCAGGCAGCAGGGGGCTGGGGTTAGGGCCTCTCTCTAGGCTAAGGAGCAGGGTCAGATTTTCCAGGGGCATCAGGACTTGGGAGACTGGCTGGGAGCCCAGGTTTAAAGATGCCGTTTTCAAGGTTTGCAGAAGTCTGGGTCCCAGTTTCTGGTGCAGCACTTGTAGCCGCCTGCCGCTGTGGCGTGGGGAGCAGCGCCTGAGCCTGGGCCCTGCAGCAGAAGGCCGCCGCGGAAGGCCCATCCTGGCAGTGTCCTAGCCCAGGTGAGGGCAAGGAAAAGAAGACCTGCTACTCCCTGGGGACCAAGACAAGAAAGAAGGTGGAGTGAATCTGGATTATACACAGTCCCCCCAAGCCAAAGCATTGAGGTATATGCGGCTGATGCCTGTTGGCATCAAAGCAAACAAGATCCGTTGCTCTACTATCAAAATATGAACTCGATCCCCCCACTTCCCGAAGTCTCTGCAGCTGTCTCCTGCTCAGCCGGTCCCCCTCTGCAGACCAATCTCCACTCAACAACGAGGCTGACCTTTTAAAAATATAAACCAGACCTTTCCACTTACGTGTTTAAACCCTACTAGCACACTTCAGATAAAATCCTACATTCTTTTCTGCTAATTTCAAAGGCTCCCCAGGGCCCGGCCCCTGTCTCCAATCCGACCTCATTAGGGACCACCTCCCTTCCGTTTACTCTGCTCCACTCCGCTCCGGCCACACCAACCTCTCCCACCTTGAGGACGTCTAACCTGTGCCCCCTCAGTAAGGGGACGCTTTCCCCCAGGTCTTCTGTACCTGCCCCAACCCCTTGCTGATTGTGGCCACTCTCCCCCACTTCTGCCATTCAAAATCACCATCACCTGGTATAATTGACTTCAAAGTACTTATGAGTCTCTGAACTGCTTGCTTATTTGTAGGCGCTCAGAAGTGTAAGCCTCAGGGAACCAGGGAGCTTGAGTGCCCAGGGACAGCGAGTGGCACTAGGAGGTGCTTAATGAGATGTTTATTGAAAGAATGAGTGAACAAATTAAATGCATGAGCTTCTCAGGGACCCCTTTCCCCCTTTTTAAAAGAAGGATAATGCAATGATATTAACAAATATAATTATTAAATTCAGGGACCTTCCTCTTTTTTTTTTTAAATCCTCATCTGAGGACATTTTTTCATTGGTGATAGAGATGAGAGAGAAACATCCATCTGTTGGCTCCCACATGTGCTGTGATTGGGGATCGAGACTGCAACCCAGGCATGTGCCCTCACCAGGAATAGAACCAGCGACCTTTCGGTTTATGGGACAACGTTCCAACCAACTGAGCCACGTTGGCCAGGGCCGGGGACCTTCTTAAGAAAAACTGTAGTTTACGCACATCACCGTCAGGGCTGCAGGGTGGAGAAGAAGGCAGAGTGGGCCAGGAGGAGGGAGGAAGGGCAGAGAAGGGTGGGGCACCACCTCTGGTTCTGTGCTGTGGGGCCACACGATGCAGTGCTAAGCACGGCTCCTAGGTGCTGCCCTCCCCTTGGGCTTCCTTCCAGGCCTGGCGCACCTTAATCTTCACTTTGTAAGGGTTGATCATTAAGACCATGCTGGGGATACCCTCCAGGGAGGGCAGCTGCTCGTCCTCTGAGACTTCCAGGTCAAACCTCTGCAGCATCCAGGACAGGAAGAGGAAGAGTGTCTGGCGGGCCAAGTTCTCCCCTACACAGGAGCGAGGTCCTGCTCCGAAAGGTATGTAGCTTAACGACGGCGAGATGAGCTGGCTCCCCGTGGGGTCCAGGAAGCGCTCTGTGGACATGGGGCAGGTGTCAGGCAGGGGCCGGGACAGGAGTGAGTAGAGGGGTGCCTCTGCCTGGCCCGAGGAGCCCCAGTCTGGGAGGTGCACAGCCTTCCTTAGGGGACTCAGCCTGTGGGAGACACAGCCCTACTTTCAGGTAGCCCTTAATCACATAGAGGCAATGAAATGTTCAGATGAAAATGCCACCCACTGTCCAAGGAGAGAGGGGGCCAACTTCTTGGGGGACATATGCCTAGAGGGCTTCTTAGAGGAGATTTGCAGTTGGTGGAAGGGAAAGTAGGAAGCACAGCTGTGAAGAGTTCAGATACGCCTCGAGTATGATGGGGGTGTCATAGAGCGCATGTAGTTGGAGCGGAGGGTGTCCTAGTTGCCGGCTAGGCAAAGGGGAAAGGGGGCTGGTGTGGCGGAGCGCAGAGACCGGGCTGGCCCTGTGGCCTGGGAGTGGGCCGGAACACAGACTCACCGGGCAGGAACTGGTGGGGTTGGCACCATTCCTTCTCATCGTGATGCAGCGCCCACAGATTGATGATCACATTTGTGCCCTTGTCAATGGCAAACTCGCCGATGCTGTCCCGGAGAGGGAGAGGAAAAGGGGGTCTGGCATATTGTCCTCCCCCACCTGCTCAGCCCTAGTCCGCACAGCCCTCCCTGCGGGGCAAAGGAGCCCTTTACTCCCCTGCAACCGCCCCTCATCTCCCGCCAGATTTAGTGTGAGCCCAGCTGTCCCCCGGTGCTCTGTTCCTGACAGGCGCCTATGTAGCAACGCTTCTACATGTGGATATCCACGTCTGTCAGGGCATGTGGGGTTGCCTGGGGAGCTGTGCAGCGTGTGTCGTGGCTGAGTGGGAGCGCAGGGCACCAGCCTTTCATCCCAGACCACATGTCTCCAGGACAGCCGGCAGCTCCTGAGGGAGGTCAGGCGGCTCTGCGGGTTAGTCACTGGGGGTCCGTGGGTTGTGGATCCATTAATCTCTCGGGTCATTGACTATCAATGGTGGGCTATGGGTGGACCAGGAAGGAGTGGGGCTGGGGGAGCAGAGGAGGGGCCAGGCGGGACGGCAATCAGCCTCGAATGCATCTTAGGGCCGGGTATCCCCGGGGGGGAAGGCACACCTGGAGTCAGTGATAGCCTTGTGGGGGATGAACATAGGGGCCACAGGGCGAATGCGAAGCACCTCGCGGATGGTGGCCTCCAGCAGAAGGAGGTGGTTCCGGTCACTGATAGTTGGTGTGCGGCTGAAACCTACATTCTGGTCAATCTCCTTCTGGATCTTCTTTAGCACCTGGGGGCCAGAGAAGGGTGGATGTGACCAGGGTGCTTCAAGTCCAGGAGAAGCGTGGGCTTAGGAGAACTCTGTGGTCACACTTTGAAGAGCTGGCTCAGCCCCTACCTGGTGGTGGCTCTACAGCCTAGATTTTCCTTGCAGAAGATGAGGCCTCTCCGCCCCCAGGTAAGGACAGAGAGGCTAGTAGTCCTGCAGGAAAAACCTGGGGGCACTGTCTCGCTCCCTCTCCCGGGCCAGACTTGAACCTGGCTGAGGTCAAGAGTGGCTGGGAAGACGGGTAGGGAGAAGCCTACCTGAGGGTTATGCAGCAGGAAGGCTACCGTCCACTTCATCACAGAGGTGGTGGTCTCCACCCCGGCCCCAAAGATGTCCCCTATGGTAGCAAGAATGTGTTGATCTGAAAACAGCTTGGACTCCTCGTCGGAACCAGCGTTATTATTGACCGAATTCATCTTGGCTTGAATCAGTACATCCATCAAGTTTGTAGCAGAGTCGCTGCTGAAGTTCCCCTGGTTGGGTAAGGTTGGGAAACGGTGATAAGGAAGGAGACCCATCTCCAACACTCTACCATACTTTCATCCTAATTTGGAGATGCAAAGGCTTCTTCCGCTTGCAAGTGAGCGGGTGGAGTGAGTCTAGTCAGGACCTATGAGCTTGTGGAAGTGAGGCAGCTCTAGGTCCTCTTTAAATTTGGGGGGCGGTGGATGGGTCCCTTCTAGGATCCTCTTCAATTCCTCACTTCCTCATCCCTATTTGTTCGTTAAGTCAGTTTTTATCAAGCACCTAACTGTGCCAGACTCTCTGCTACCTGCTGGAGATCCTACAGTGTTCAGAATGGACCTTAAACCCTGCTCTCAGGACACTTTCTTTCTTTCTTCTTTTTTAAAAGATGTTATCTATTTATTTTTAGAGAGAGGAAAGAAAGGAGAAAGAGAGGGAGAGAAACATAAATGTGTGGTTGCCTCTCACGCATCCCCCCTGCGGGGACCTGGCCCGCAGCCCAGGCATGTGCCCTAACTGGGAATCCAACCGACAGTCCTTTGGTTCACAGGCTGGCGCTCAATCCACTGAGCCACACCAGCCAGGGTTAGGACACTTTCAACCTAACTCATAATCTCTTCTGCTCCATCACCTACCTTATATTTTTCGTAGATTTCAGCTAGCACATCATTTCGCAGTTTTATACAGTCCCTCATCGTCTTTATGGTTTTATTGGGGAAAATCTGGAAAGTAGAAAGAAATGGTAAATGCACCCCTCTTGTGTTTTGCTTCTCCAGCTACCGGAATCCCTCCCAGGGGGTAGATCCTGGCCTTGTGTCTCTGGAGAGTTCCCACTCCAACACCAACCTTCAGCCAAATTGGAAGGCAAGATGGGAACATTGAAGGGGACTGTCAGTGACAACCAGGACAACTCCAAACAAGGGGGAGGAAGGAGTGGTCTCCTCTTCCCCCTCCCTCTCCAGTCAAACATTAAGCGCTGATGTTTACTTAGTAAACTGTTTTTCTGCCCAGCCTTGCAGAGTAAGAAAGACTTGAGTCTGAAGCCTTGGGCAAGTTTCTTAACTCCTCAAAGCCTGTATTCCCATCTGTCTGGGGATAATAAAACCCACCTCCAAGGGGGAATGCCATGATTAAAGCATGTGGAGTGCTCCATACCGGCACGTGGCAATTAGTACATAAATGAGAGCCATTAATTATGAGTATAACATGCATGACTGAAAAGCTAAACCTACTTATGTAGACAAGCAGCAAAGTTTTAAGTCAGAGATGGTACAGGGCAATGTGTCTGAGGTGGCCAGGCAGTGAGAAAAAAGAAGAACTGGGGATAGAGCTGGGGTCTGCTGGGACCTGAAGGTGGGGTCTCATCCTTACCCTCAATGCAGGGAATATGTCTGCAATATTGTTATTGCTCAGAGAATCCATGATGCCTTCATTGCATTTCTGCATGGTCTTCAGTGTAGGATGTCCATTCTTGAAGGAGATGTTGAAGCAGAAAAAGCAGACTATGTTGGTCACCTTCACGAAGAGAGGCAAGGACAAATCTATGGCCTGTCCATTTTGGGTGTCCAGGAAGTCACAAAGTGAACCGGCTTCCTGACATACTGTGGGGAGAGAGGGACATGAGGCCGGGGAATTAAGCAGCACCCTTACCCCATGTCTACTGGTTCCATCTTTGTCAGGGACAGATAGCAGATGGCCACTAGATGGCAGCAGTAGCCAAGAAAATGCTAGATTGAGCCTTCCCCGCATCTTCTCCCCTCCCCAGCCCTCCTCTCCCTCCAAAGCCCCAGGGACCTGCAGGGCACTTACTGATCTTCTCTAGCTTGTGGTCACCATGCTTGAACAAGGCAAAGGCGGCCTGCACCAGCTTCCGATGCAGCTGCCAGGCTTCACCGTAGTCGGCAAAGGCAACGCCCTTTTGCTTGTTGGACAGGAGATCTAGAGTCATCTTTGGAAAGCAGGAAAGGCTGTAGGAATCAGACACCATCCACCTGCCCTTGCCCCAGACCTCCTGCACCCACTGCCCAGACCCAGGGGAACCATGCTGCAGGGCATCGCTGCGTCTCTCCGCCGCGACTTTGAGGCCTTGGTAGTCCAGGGCCTAAGCCCCTCTAACTCCCAGTTCCATCAGAGACAGAGTGAGGAGGAGGAGGAAGAAGGGACACTCAATTAGAATGCAGGGGTTCTGGGGTTCTGTCCAATGATAGGGTGACCCTGGGCCTCTCTTCTCATCAGTTTCTGGTTGGGGAGGGCAGCTGTGAAGGGGATGAGCTCTCTGAATTGGGCTTGTCCTGGGGGCAGGGGGCGGGGTACATGGGGTTGTAGAGATGGAGGACCACTCAGACCTCTGCCTTTTCCTGGGGCCCCTGCGAGGTGCTAAAGGCACAGCAGCTCACCTCCTTTTCATGCACCCTTCCCTTCCATGGCAAGGCTGTGTGCCCACCTCAGGGCCACACCAGAAGAGCGCAGATGCCTCATACACCCAGTCTGAACACGGGGTCAAGCCAGCTTGTCTCAGAGGCACCCCAAAGAGCATAAGCCTCCAACGCCTCCCATCTTCTCTCCCCTGACTCGCAGACCCCAACTGACTAGCGTCCTTCTTCCCCTTTGCACTGGAGAGAAGAGCTCAGCAGAGTTGGGAAGGAGGTCGCTGGGCAGCAAGCCTGGCCTGATCAAAGATGAGTGGCTTGGGAGCCCTGCCTAGGGTGTTCAGAGGAGAGCCCGGCAGCAGGACCCGGGGATGGGGCCTCAGCAGGGCTCTGGGGGGGGTCAGCCCACTGTGAACCGGAGCAGCTGGGTCGGCTCTGGAGAAACAGCAACCCCAGCGCTCCCAGACCAGGCTACTCCCTTGTACCTTCCCATAGAGAACGATAATCACTGTCTCCATTTTTCACATGAAGAGTAACATGCATAAAGCGATTTATTGAGCACTTACTGTGCTGGGCACTGGGCTAAGATCTTTACCGTGCTGTCTGTTAATTAGGGAAATCTTAGGCTTGGAGAGGTCGCTATCCAGTTCAAGGGTGAGACTACGGGAGTGAGGCTCCCTGACCCCCTCAGGCCACTGCTCCCACCCCACTCTCCCTTCTGGGCAGCCCTGCAAAGCAGGTCTTCCTTTAATTCTTGCTGCCTAGGTTAGAAGCTACGTGGAGGCTTGAGGGGTCGCTCCCCACCCATTGCCCTGCTGGTCTGTTTTTAGGAGGAATTACAGGCTGTCAGAGCCGGCAGGGTCATCCCAGGCATGATCTTGGCCCCAGAACTGAACAACCCCAGGGGGTGGTGAGAGAGGAGAGACACTGGGCCCTGCTTACCGTTTGGGGCCGCCCGGAGAATTCCTTGCCCCTCTTGATGAGCACCTCCTTGGCTAGCTGGTGGTGTCCGACCATCACTGTAGTCTTGCTACCCACTTGAAAAGAATAGATAGGGCCGTATTTTTCCTGCAGCTTGAAGAGGTTAATGTGCTCATGGCCATTTCTGGGGAGGAATGGGAGGCTACCCACCACGGGCAGGGATGGGAGGCTCTTGGGGTACTTGCCACCAGGGTGCTTTGCCTTGGGCCAAAAAAAATAGGCTAGGGTAAGGAGCAAGAGAGCCCAGAGCTCCCACATGGTGGCCTGGCACCGGCAGGCAAGACGGACAGCTCAGGAGAGGAAATGCCACAGCCACTCTGAGGTGCAAGGCGGCCTTTTTAAGGGCTGCCGCGATCTTCACCTTGACTTAGTGTTATCTCTTGCCTTGTGGGAGTTTATCCTGGAGCGCAGCCAGGCCTGAGCTCTTTTGTAGAATGGGGAAAGGAAGGGGGAGTGGAGGCTTCCTTAAGGGCTGACTTAACTTCAGGGCAAACCTCTGTGGGAGAGGCAAAGTAAGGGGAGGGCCACTGCCCCCCCCGCCCCCCCCCCCCCCCGCCCCGCCGCTGGTTCCATAGTACACCAGAAGCAGATGATATCTGGGTTAGGAGTCAGGTTTGGGACATTCCATGCAAAATCAAAATCACCAGATAGGTTAGTCATTGTAGACAGTGATGGCAAGAATGCAAACGTCCTGATTCATGTTTGGCTGCTCTTTCCTGAGGCAGGGAAGCCCTAAAGGCAAGCGCGGGGGCCCTAGAGTGAGATAGGTATGGGTTCAAAATCCTAGCTTGACCACTTTCTAGCTATGTGATTTTTAAAAAAAAAATTATTGACTTTAGAGAGAGTAAGGGAGAGAGAGAGAGAGGAAAAAATAGCAATTTTTTGTTCCAGTTCTTCACGCAGTCATTGGTTGCTTCTTGTCTGTGCTCTGACCAGGGATCGAACCCACAGCCTTGGTGTTATTGGGACAACGCTGTAACCAACTGAGCTACCTGGCCAGGGTTCAGTTGAGTTGTTTTTTCAAATTGGTTTTATTACATTAAAATATACATAACAAAATTTACTATTTTAAGTGTACAGTTAAGTAGCATTAAATACACTCACAAGTTGTACCAGCATCACCCTATCTACTTCCAAAACTTTTTATCATCCCAAACAGAAACTGTACCACTAAGCAGTAACTCCTGATTTCCTTCTCTCCTCAGCTCCTGGTAACCTTTAATCTACTTTATCTCTATGAATATATCTATTTTGCATAAGTAGAATCACACAATTTTGTGTGTGTTTGTGTCTGTCTTATTTCACTTAGCATAATGTTTTTGAGGTTCGTCCATGTTGTAGCAGGTATCAGAACTTCATTCCTGCTCTGGCCAGGAAACTCAGCTGGTTAGAGAGTCATCCCGACGTGCTAAGGTTGTGGGCTTGATCCCCGGTCAAGGCACATATGAGAAGCAACCAATGTGCAAAGGTAAGTGGAATAAATTGATGTTTCTCTCTCTCTCCCCCTCTCCCCCTCTAAAATCAATTACAGTTCATGTACATTATAACACTACTTTCAGGTGTACATCCCAGTGAAAATACTAAGTTATCATCCTGATAAATCTCACACCCATCTAACAGCATATGTAGTTATTACAACATTATTGACTATATTTCCTATGCTGTACTTTACATCCCCATGACTATTCTGTAACAACCAATTTGTACTTTTTAATCCCTTCACGTTTTCACCCATCCCCCACCTCCATCCCCTCTGGTTTTCAAAATATTTTCTGTACCTATGAGTCTGTTTCTTTTCTGCATGTTTGTTTATTTTGTTTTTTTAAAAAAGATTTTATTGATTTTTAGAGAAGAGAAGGGAGGGAGAAAGAGCGGGAGAGAAACATGAATGTGTGGTTGCATCTTGTGTGCCCCCTACTGGGGACCTGGCCTGCAACCCACACGTGTGCCCTGACTGGGCATTGGACCAGCGCCCCTTTGATTTGCAGGCCAGCACTCAATCCATTGAGCTGCACCAGCCAGGGCTGTTTATTTTGTTTTTTAGATTCAGTTATTGATAGACGTGTATTTTCTGGAATTTGTCCCGTTTTTGAGGCCTGTTTCTTTGTCTCCTCATTTTGGCAGCCCCCCGTGTTTGTTTCTATGTATTAGGTAGAGCTGCTACGTCTCCCAGGCTTGGTAGAATGTAGTAGGTGTTCTGTAGTGTCCTGTGGTAATAGGATCACCCACTCTGGGCACTCGAGGTACACCCCCGTGTGGGCTCTGTACACCCTTCTATTGTAGCTAAGCCTTGACTGCTGTTGACACATCAATTAGAAGGATTTACCCCCAGGCTACTCAGCTGCAAGGACTGGCTGAGATCACCACCCACAGACTTCCAACCCGCCATGGAGGATCAGCTGTGCAGGGACCCGCCCCACAGAGCAGGACTTACTTTACTTGGGCTCTGGTGCCTGCTGGGTTTTCTCCTCAAGTGTGTCGCCTGTGGAGGTGGTTGGGTGGTGGTGCTTTGACAGGGTCTAAGGCTATCTGCTGGGTGCTCTGGCTCTGGGGCCTACTGGGAGGTGGTCAAGTTCAGCCATTGCCTGTGTTCTTCCTGGGGCAATGTGGCATGAGCTACAAAGTGATCTGCAGATGGCGGCTACTTGTATTGGGCTTGGAGGAGGCCAAGCTGTGAACCAAGGCCAGCAACTGCTGGTGCCAGGCCTGGGGCTACGTAGCCAGAGGTACAGGGTACACTGAAGCCAGATGCTGCTTGTCTGAGAGATTTTAGGAAAACCTGAAGCATGAGCCAAGGTTGGTTGCCAGTTTGGAAAAGCCAGTTTGGGTGGGGCATGGCCTTGGGGAGTCACCAGGGCAGGGCAAAAAAAGTCTAGCCAGATTGATGGAGTCTCAGATATGGAGCCTGTCCGCCAGCTCTTTTGGGGAAGGGCTCATCAAAAGAACAATGGCTTCTGTCAGCACTTCTGTCTGGGAGAAAGCTGTCCCTATAGCTCTCACCCTGATGCCGGACAATTCAGTTCCTCCCCACATGTTCCTGGTTCTCACCAAGCTGCCAGCCCAGTCCTGAAGCTTAGAGTGAGTAGTTTGACTAAGTCCGTGTGTGGGCCCTTTAAGAGGAACTGCCTGGGACTCCAGACACACACCAGCACACTCAGCAACAATCCCCCCTGGTTTTTCCATCCAGAAGTTATGGAGACTTCTCTTCCTGGCGTTGGAGTCCTGGGCTGGGGGGCTTAGTGTGGGGCTGGGGCCCCCTAACTCCTCAGGGGGCACTTCCACAGCTGAGACATTCCTCGCGATTTTTATCCACTACACACCAGCGTGAGGCTAGCCCATTCCATGCTTCCACCCCTCCTACCAGTCTCAACATGACTTCTTCCTTTCCCTAGTTGTAGGACTTCCATTCGGCCAAATTTCAGGTGGTTTTGAATGATGATTGTTTTGTCGTTCGGTTGTACCTTTGATGTAATTGTGGGAGCAAGCAAGTACCACGTTTACCTATGCTGTCGTCTTGCCCGGAAGTCCTACTGAAAGTTCTGCAGCAGCAGAGTGACAGGGGGCCGTGGTGTTTAGGGGGTCGAATCCAGTATCAGCGATGGGGTAGCCCGGATGAGGACACCCTGTGTGAAGTTGGACAGCGGGGTGAGAAGTGGGGAGTCCTGCGTCCTGTGATCCAGGCAGGGTCCTAAGCGGGGTCAACCAGCTGCGAGAAAAATATAAATGGGTACTTTCTGTTTCTAAAGTGAATGCCAAGGTTATTTGGTGATATTTCACTCCTCTTCACAAACAAGAAATGGAAATTTAACAAAATTGTTGCCTCACATTTTTATCACCATATTATAAAAGTTATAAATGATAATTACAGAAAATGTGAAAAAATGTGATGGCTGAAAATAAAATAATATTAATATTTTTAACCTCATTGAGGTCATATTGCATTTTGGGATATGGGTATTTTTCAGTCTTAAGACTTTTCTACAACTTTTTTTTTTTTATGGATGCATGGTATTTCCTTGCATGTATATCCTATGTATAGCATAGCATATTTAACTGACCCTGACAGGTTATTTCTCTTTTTGTTCTCATTGATATCAACAACATTAAGGAATGGCCTCGTAGTGAAACTTTTGTACATAACCATTATTTTTTCTTAGGATAGAATCGTCAAAGTGGGATGCATGCCTATTTTAAAGACTTGTGAGCCCTGGTTGGCGTGGCGCGTTGGTTCAAGCGTTCCATCGACTGAAGGGCTGTGGGTTAGATTCCTGGTCAGGGCACGTGCCTGGGCTGTGTGTTCAGTCCCTGTAGGGTTGTGTGCAGGAGGCAATGGATTGATGTGTCTCTTTCCATTGCCATTCCAATTCACATCAATTTTCTCTCTCTCCTCCTTCCTTTCTCTTTGGGATTAAAAAAAAAGTAGACGTGATAAATAGTGACTTATTCATTAGATGCATTATATTAATAAATATCTTGGTATCCAACCGTTACTAGAATAATAGTAACTTATCAAGAGTGTCTCCTCTTAATATAGAATTAGATTTTCTTTGTAATTTACTTAGGATTTTATTTTTTTCACATCTGTAGTCATATGAAAAATTGCATTTGTAGTTTTATTTATGCATTGTCAAATTTTGGTATTATGATTTTGCTCATTTTATAAAGTTATTGGATAACCTTTTAACCTTATGTCCTAAAGCAGATTAAACAATGCAGGAATTATTCATTCTTTGAAGCTGTAAATAAAGGTGACCATGAGAAGTATCAGGTCCTACGGTCTTTTTTGAGAGATAATTCTCTCACAGTTCTGGAGGCTGGAAGTCCAAGATAAAGGTGCCAGCCTGGTCATTTTCCCGTAAGAGCTCTCTCCTTGGCTTGCATGCAGATGGCACTTTCTCATTGTGTCCTCACAGAGCAGCTGGAGAGAGAATTCTCTAACAATTCCAGTTTCTTCAATAGCTATTGGCCTTCTCAACTCTCCTGAGTTGTCTTGAGTAATTTTGGCAATTAATATTTCTTTCTTTCTTTTTCTAATGTTCAGTGATCTCTGAACTTTTTATTGGTCTCCTGCCCCCACAAAGAGTGCCCCACTTCTGCCTTTAACACCTCAGAATTTTGGTGTCGCTGACCTCAGACACCACGTTGCCTTCTACAGCCCTGCTGTAGATGTTGAGCTTTTGCATGGATTGTATGGAGTGGCGGTCGTCCAGGGCGCCACCAAGATTGAAGTCCTCCCCTTCTTCCAGCAGGTGGTGGTA